AACACTTCTATTCCTCATGTATCCACCGTTTTTACCCGGTAACATCCGTGAAAGTTTGCGACAGACTGTCGGGGCTATATGGATGCTCCAACAGCATCATCGTTCAGAGCACTCAATCTGTTTGGATTTTGCACCGTATTAAAAGCTGTAATACCAGGAGTTCCGCCTTCCTGGTCATTATTGGTACAAAAATTAAAGTAATGAGGAGGTACTCCCTGAAACAATGCCTCCACTTTCTTCGCAAGTCTTCCCTGCATGTACGTCCGGCAAAGTCAGAATAAAGAGCCTTCGTCCCGGATGCCCATGAATACACACCAAACGCCTCGGGCACAGCATTTGTCACCCCATCCGTTAACGGCCCTTGATAACCGATGTTATTGGTTGTTGTACCATTACCACTCCAGTTAACTACCGTGGATGAAGTTCCATATGGATGCATGCCACTGAATTCAGTATCATTAATAAAACGCTGGTACTGTTCAAATGCCGTTATGGCTCCTGTTGTCACATCAGTTACAGTTCTGCGTCCAATGACATTGTCTGCCCCACAATAGTCATCATCACCTGCTAAAGTAATCGCCCCATGACTAACATTGGGGTATCCCTGACTGGCAGCAGTAGATGAATAATTTGAAGAACTGAGTAAGGTTAATAGATGCAAAAACAGATTTTATATAGCTATATGAAATCAAAAACCTTTATTTAAAATAATCTTTCTATAAAAAATAGATATATACAACAATAAAATCAAAGAATATATAAATTCTGTTAAAATTTCGAATTCTTTCAACAATAAACTACTTTAGCTGAAGCACTTTGTTAGTACTGACTAATATAATGCACGAATAGATAATAAAAGAAATCCAGACATTAAATATACTTAAAGTTTAACAGGCCGACAACAGGGAAATGTAGGTATTATCTCTGTAAAGGAGTAATGAGGGTAAATATGAATATGTATCAATACTGTCGGATGTTCGTTGTGATAGCGGAAGTATTGTTACTGGCAACCACAACTTCCAGTCAGGCAGCAACAGTGACCAAGCCAACAGCGAATAGCGCTGTTATCACCATCCCTGTGACCATAATCAACCAGCAGAGTACCTGTAAAGTGAGTTTTGAGGGAGCCAATGTGTCAGGAAGTGCTTATACCTTCCAGGAAGTGCTGTTGAAAGGACAGACCCAGAACCACCCACCTTTTCAGGCTGTGGTGGCTTGTGATGGGAATTCGGAAGTGAAGACCGCATTGACACTGCGGCCTGCGGGGGCATTTCAGGCAAATGCAAATCGTGTAGATCTGTATTCTGTGGATAGTCCGACAGTTAAAAGTGGTGAGTTGTGGCTGACATTACAGAATGGAAACCTGGCTCCGATGGGAGACAGTGCCGGCAGTATCTCACTGACACCATTCTGTGAGGGAATCACATCAGGCTCTGTGAGAAACAGCTGTACACTGAAACCGGTGACCAGTATTTTGTCCACGGCACCAGGAGGGCCGGTAAGTACCACTCTGGCATTTGATGTTGTTTATCGTTGAGAATGGTTACAAAAAGGCTGACTTGAATGAAGTAGATAAAGGGTAAAAATTGATTACAGGCAGCAGTAGTAGATGTTTTTTTACTTTGGGGAGCATAAGAAGGGGGGGATGAACAATGTTATTGGGAGTTTGCGTTAGTGTATTCTTGTGCTCAAATTCAATGAGCGAAGTCACTACACTGAAGACAGGAAGTGTTCTGGGAGATTACGAAACACTCTTTACGGCGGGTATTAGTGGCATGGATACTCAATAGTGAGTATTGACATGGATTATACTGTCACATTATTCCCACCATAAACACTGTATCATTAGATATATCCCTTCCTGTTTTTTCCGGCCCATTCAGCACCGCTATTGGTGATTTATCTTTTGATACAGTGATAAAATTGATATCTATTTGGGGTGCAACTTAGGGTAGTTGTATCTCGATGCGCTTTCGCTTCCACTATAATATAGTGCGGTTTCTGTCGTTTACTTCCTGGCAACCCAATATTTCGCAGTTCAGATGATAATTATGTCAAATTAAAACGTAACTTTTTTATGGTTCTCATTGAGCCAGAAATATATTTGTCAATTTTATTATTGCTTTGCACAATAAGACAATCATTAGGTTTTCTTTTAATTTGTAATGTTAGGGCGGTGATGTTCAATGTCCCGCTGGTGTTGTTTTTTCATGATGTAAAAACGCAACATCAAGCAACGGATGCAGATGAGTTCATTTTATTAAGGATACTTTTCTATATTAAACCGAGGTTTATGGGAATATGAAAAAATATATTATTGCATCTATTGTTGGCATGGGAATTATGAGTGGAACTGTGGCTCATGCAGCTAACAATGAAGTGACTTTCCTGGGGACTGTAAGTGCCACAACTTGTGATTTGAGTACTTCTGTGAACGGAACTACTCAGCCGAACCAAGTCGTTCAACTTGGTACTGTTGCTAAAGGTGTTATCGGTAATGCAGTTAATTTCGCAATGAAACCGGCTAACCCGACTGCACCTGGTTGCCAGAACCTGACGCAGAAAACTGCTACTATTACTTGGGCTTCCGCAAAACTTGATAACGAAGGCTTCGGTGCAACTAGCGGTACAGCTACAGATGCAAAAGTACTGGTTGAAAGTGTGAATTCTAAACAACCGGGGGTTGTAAATGCTAATGCTAGTGTGATCGATTTTGATGCGGCCAACCTGACTACTGACGGTCTGCAGTTCACAGCCAAACTGAGAGGCGGTCAAACTGAAGGTGACTTCAAATCTGTAGCGTCTTTCGCAGTAGCTTATAAATAATTAGCCATTAAATAAAACAGAACCCTGTTTTATTTTTTTCGGAGAGACACAATACTTGTATTGTGTCTCTCCAGACTTGATATTTTTGTGACTCTACATAGTGAGTTAATTACATCCCCACTTCCGCTTATATCTCCAATTATTTAATTATCTGATGGTATGCAGGGGATTTTAAAAGTTCCTGAGAGGAGGGGGGCGTGTTATTTCATCAACGTTTATTTAAACTATCTACGTTAAGTCTTGCATTAGTTTCACACTTTTCTTTTGCAGGTAATGACTCAGAACTGAACTTGGATTTTTTACAGGGTATGAGTACTATTCCTTCTGTATTAAAGTCAGGTTCTGATTATCCGGCAGGACAGTATTATGTTGATGTCATTGTTAATCAGGAAAACGTGGGTAAGGCCCATTTGTCTATTACGCCGCAGGAAGAATCAGCGAACGCCCTGTGTTTAACTGCAGATTGGTTGAAAACAGCAAGGGTTCCTGTTCGCCTGGAAGGGTATGTATCCACTTTTGATGCAGCAAAGCAGTGTTACGTTCTCAGTCGTAATCCTTATACAAAAGTGGATTTCAGCTATGGTTCCCAAAGTTTAGTATTCAGTATCCCCCAGACGTTTTTAGTCAACAAGACGGATCCCAGTCGCTGGGATTACGGCGTACCGGCAGTTCGTCTGAAGTACTCAGCTAATGCCTCGCAGACATCGGGGCAAAGTACCAGTGCCTATGCGAATGCTGACCTGATGGTCAATTTCGGGCGCTGGGTGCTGGATAGTAACATGAGTGCGTCCCGGTATTCTGACGGCTCAGGTGAGTTCACTGCCCGGGATATCACTCTTTCAACAGCCATCAGTAAGATTCAGGGGGATTTGTTGCTGGGGAAATCCCAGACCCGGAACTCACTTTTTACTGATTTTGGTTTTTACGGGGCAGCGCTGCGCTCCAATAGTAATATGCAACCTTGGGAAGCACGGGGCTATGCTCCGCTTATTTCTGGGGTGGCCAGCTCCAGTTCCCGGATCACCATTACCCAGAGTGGATACACTATTTATTCGAAGGTTGTGCCACCTGGCCCGTACCAGCTGGATGATGTCCGCGCCGTAGGGAACGGTGACCTTGTGGTAACAGTGGAGGATGCGTCAGGCCGAAAAACTACCACAACATATCCGGTCACCACTCTCCCGACACTGCTGCGTCCCGGAGAAATCGAATATAACCTGGCAGCAGGACGCAAATCCAGCAATTACAAGCTGAAAGAACCTTTTGCAGACGGTGAGTCAGGAATGTTCTGGATGGGGAGTCTGGGATATGGTTTTGATACGACCACTCTTAATGTTGCCTCTATTTTACATGGTAAATATAAGGCGGGAGGGGTGAGTGTGACACAGTCGCTGGGGAGCTTCGGGGCAGTGTCAGCGGGAGTGAACCTGTCTCATGCAGAGTATGATAATGGTGATAAGAAGCACGGTCACAGTGTCAGTGCCAAGTATGCAAAAAGTTTCTCTGATACCACAGATCTTCAGCTACTGGCGTATCGTTACCAGAGTAAGGGATATGTGGAGTTTGCGGATTTTTACAGTACTGACCGATATACCCGTTATAACACGAAATCCCGTTATGAAATGCGGGTGTCCCGGCGACTGGGAAATAGTAATCTCAGCTTGTCTGGGTGGCAGGAAGATTACTGGTGGCTGAACGGAAAAGCTATTGGTGGTGATATTTCCTTTAGTACCACTGTTTTTGATGGTGTATCTGTTTTTCTGAACGGTAGTTACAGTAAGCGTCCATATCTGGACAAGGCAGATTATAGTACATCGCTTTCTTTTAGTATTCCGTTCACATTAGGAGGGGTTCGTTATTATAACACAACGGGTCTAAGTTATGATCGTAGTGGTCAGTTGGGGCTGAATAGTGGAGTATCTGCAAGTCCAACAGAGCGTTTAAGTTACAGCTTGAACACGAATTTGACCAACAGGAAAACCCGTAGTTTGAGTGCTAATTTATCTTATGGTTTTGATGCTATTCAGACCAATATGGCGGTAACAAAAGCTCGAGACGCTACAACGTTATCAGGTAGTGTGAGTGGCACAATTCTGGGGACAACAGACAGTGGTCTGTTGATGACAAAGGAGACCAGTAATACGCTGGGAGTGGTACGCATTCCGAATGTAAAAGGTGTGCAGGTGAATGGTTCGGCACCGACCAATAGTAAAGGCTACACTGTAGTGAGCCTGTCGGATTATTCTTTGAACCAGGTCAGTGTAAATATGGAGAATGTACCAGACAACCTGGAGCTACAAACTACATCCTATAATGTAGTTCCGACAGAAAGTGCTGTTGTTTACCGGGAATTTGGTGCAGAGCATGTGTTGCGTTACATCTTACAGGTGAAAGAACGGGATGGTCGGGTACTTAACGGGGGAAGTGCACAGACAGAGCAGGGACTGGATGCAGGATTTATAGCTGGAAACGGTGTACTACTGATGAACATGTTAAGTGTTCCATCACAGATCACTGTTAAGCGGGGAGATGACAGTGTCTGTCATTTTTCAGTGAAAGGTATTATACCCAATTCCGGAAAAGTTCAGGAGGTTTATTGTGAATAAGATTGCGAGAGGGGGATTTGTGTTCCTGTTGTCCTTAGTTGTAAGTGGGCAAGCAATGGCAGCTTTTGTGTTGAATGGAACTCGTTATATCTATGAGGAAGGGAAAAAGAATATTTCATTTGAAGTAACTAACCAGGCGGACGAAACTTTTGGTGGTCAGGTATGGATAAACAATACCACTCAAAATAATGGTATGGTCTATATGGTACCTGCACCTCCGTTTTTTAAAGTCAGGCCAAAAGAAAAGCAAATTATTCGTATCATGAGAACTGCCAGTGTCCTGCCATCAGACAGAGAATCCTTGTTCTGGCTGAATGTTCAGGAGATTCCTCCGAAGCCAAAAACTTCTGAAGGTAATGTTCTGGCGGTAGCCGTGAATACAAAAGTAAAGTTGATTTATCGACCGAAAGCCTTAGTTACAGGACGTCATGATGCCGAGAAAAAAATGCAAATAATACATCGTGGAACTGAAACATACTTGGTAAATCCAACGCCTTACTATTTTGCTGTAACCGGAATAACTGTAAACGGACAACCAGTAAAACTAAGTGATACGGTAATGGATAAGATTTCTCAGTTTGCACCAAAGAGTGAAGTGGCACTGGGACATCTGTCCCTGAACGGAACAATAATGGTGCAGGCAGTTAATGACTGGGGAGGAATGCAAAAATATACTTTGGAATAAATTTACAATAAACAAATTATAAAATTATTTAATTTTTGTAAAATTAATATCATGGTATAAACCATACTTGTTTGTAGTTCTTCTCAACAGAGGGCTCCAGCCTGTTCTGCGTGCGAAAGGGATACTTTCTGGCCCATGGTCGTTTAATATGCGACCATGGGCACAATATTGTGCGCTAAGATGGAATGGGGCTGACACCAGTTCAGTTTATCAAGAAGTATTATCAGGTTGTAGTCTATAATAGAATAGATTTGTCATTATTTACTGCATGTAGATAAATCACTAGTTCTCCAGACGTTTGGTAACCTGGCAGGTTCATTAATATTTCTTTCATAAGCAAGTTAGTGCTGAAGGGGTTATCCATACTGTTGTGGGCATACGACTCGTCAGCTAAAATCCAACACTCATAATAGAGTGCCTTACGGGATGTTACGATAGGCTGGAAACTTGCCTGTTTTTGACAGTGAGTATTGGCTATTGCTTTCCGGCTTGTCACAGCAGTTGACTGACTGTCAGGGATATGAAACGGAATAAGCTTGTATATGGCCTGAAGGCGAAATTTCTTGATTCAGTGTTACGTCACTTACTTTGTTTTCTACCATAAAAAAACCGCACCGAAGTGCGGAAAAGTACAGTTATAAACCAAAAGTCACTAATGATGAGATCAGAATGTAAAAACCAATAACTGATAATAAAATATATATGTATATTCAGTACTTGTTTTTGCTTTTTGTGACATTCTTACCGGTACAGGCGTGGAGGTCAGGAACATGTTGCTATCCCTAATTCTTTCATTTTTTTGAAGCGATTAATGTTAGGCTAGATATATTTTATAAAGTATTATAGCAACAAATTTGGGATAGATGCTGATACTTATCTAAGGGAGAGCACTAACAAACTGGAGCGAGAGGATTAAAGTTTCAGTTGGTGCTGAATATAGCGAAATAAGCCTTAACTCTGACAGTACAAAAAACTTAACCATATTGATTTGTTATGTGAAAACCATACATGGTATACCAGAACAGAATCCATACAGCGCACAGTCCCGCTCAGACATTGCCCCGGTTGTCTCAAATGTAAAATACTGGAAGTTTTTCTTACTAATTAGTGGTATTTTTTTCAGGTATATGGTTATATACACCTGTAATATTGGCATTTCCTGTCCTGAACAGGGGAAATATATCTGCGCACTACTCATTGTATGAGTATATTATTTATTTCTGCAGACTGATACTGAAATTATTATTATCCATATATTAAGTCAGCATCAGGATGCTGGTCGTTATCTCAACAGGCTGTGGTCAACAACCACATTGTGCCGCCTGAATATGACAGGGTTACAGGGGGGGACCAGGTCAGAATTCACGTGGTACACCTTCTCCCTTTCCGTTCCCTGTCTCTGTGTTCTCCGATCCCATTCATCCTGG